AGAGAGAGAGGAGAAAGAGTCTTAAAAGAAATACATGAAATGGTAGAGGAAATGATTGCTGTTCTTCGTGAGTCAGAGAGGAAACTGACTGAGCAGGCAAAGAGGGTCACTGATGATAAACTAAAGGTGCTGTCAGAGCAAATGAAATCAACAGAAATGAGTTTGAGTGTTCTGGAGGATGTTGAGGATTATGTGGAACAGAGTCTGAAGACAGGCAGTCCTCAACAAGTCCTGAGGTCTAAGAAACAGATGATGGAGCGTATGAGTAAAGTTACTGGAGGGATCAATGTGGAGGAGTTACATCCAAAGGAAAAGGCTGACTTTGGATTGAGTAAAGATATCAAATCACTACATCACATTGGAGATATTGTGACCTCTACTGCACTACAGCAGTGTAGAGTGAAGAAGATTGATCATATTACACCTGCTAGCAAAGCAGTTTCATTTTCACTATCAATGGAGGCACCAGATTCATCTGTTTTGTGTGTTCCCGTCTCTTCTCTGTGGTGTAGTCTAGTACCAGTTGGTAAAGGTGATGAACCCATTGACACTACAGTCACTACCACCAGCACTGATCCTGGAGTGTATAGGATACAGTGTAACCCTTCAACCAGTGGTACTCATACAGTAAAAGTACAAGTATATGATGTACACCTTGAGGATATCTCACTAATCATCCCTTTCAATCCTTACCTTGATAACATCATTCCAGTACGTACTATAACTGAGCTTAAACATCCGATGGGAGTTACTATAAGTGATGATAATCACGTTATAATAAGTGAGAATAATGGTGACTGTGTAACAATACTGGATAGAGAAGGAAAGAAAGTGAAATCATTAGGAGGAAAAGGAGGAAGTGGTAATGTCAAGTTTTCTGGTCCTCATAGTGTAGCCATTACTCCAGACAAATTCATTCTTGTATCTGATAATCATAGGATCCAGAAGATAAGCATGGATGGATACCTTATAGCATCAGTTGGTGAGTGGGGCAGTGGACCACTACAATTCCAGTATCCTTCTGGTATAGCCATTTCTCCTATAACAGGACAGGTTTATATTGCTGACAGGGATAATCATCATATACAAGTCTTGAATCCTGATCTAACCTTCTCTCATTCATTTGGTAGTAAAGGATCAGCTAATGGACAGCTTAAGTATCCACGCAACATTGCTATTGACAGTCAAGGTTTAGTGTATGTTGCTGATCGGGATAATAATCGCATTCAGAAGTTCTCTCCAGATGGAAAGTTTGTGAGTCAGTTTGGTACTGAAGGATCTGGTCCTGGACAGCTTGATATTCCAATAGGTATAACAATAGACACTACAGCTACTGGTCTAGTGTATGTTAGTGAAGGGGGCAATAATCGTATATCAGTCTTCACTAGTGATGGTGTGTTTGTTAGTAAGTTTGGAAGTTATGGCAGTAATATTGATCAGTTTAATAATCCTAGCGGATTAGCATTTGATAAAGATGGATTCTTTTTTATTTGTGATTTTAGTAACAACCGACTTGTTGTTTATTAGGTTACAGTTATTGATACTTCTATTTTACTTTTAGTTGTTGACTGATTACTTAGTTTTATTTGATATTATTTTTTGGTTACTTTTGTACATGAAGAGAGTTAAAAAGGAGGATGGAGTAGATTGACGATTGATTATTGTTCTCTACAGATTATTGGCAGAGTATACTGGCAGTGCTTGATTTCCAAAAGTTTAATTTTATACATGTAAACATGATTTCAATAAAACTATGAATTTAGTGGTTTTGGTAAATTGATCTCCATTGCTAAAACTTTGACACGTAATTTCTCAAGATCTTTGCATGCCACTAATGTTCTTGATAGTTGAAGAGAGAGTAATTGAAAGGTTTGGAGAGGAAAGAATGGAGAAAGAAGGTTGAGAGGGGGAGAGAGTACTAAATTATGATGTGTTCTCTAGCTGTCTTTCTAGTTGGTGCTATTAGTGAGAGTTTAATATGCTATATACGTGTACATTGTACCAAATTAGAAATGTCCCATGTACATGTACACTGTTATAGATCTAGAGAGAGTTTAGGAGACTTGGTCTCTCATGTTTGATCTACATAGATCTCCCATTTTTCAGCTTTTGGTCTCTCATATTTCGTCTACATGTAGGTGTCCTTAAATCTTCCATTTTAGTTAGATGTTCGTACATACATGTACATGTACATGCACATGTGTTACATACATGGTAGTATGCTTACATACATATGAAATTCTTTAATTTTATTCTTAATGTACATGTAAATTTACCTTCACAACTGGTAATTGGACACTATCATAACTTCCTTTAGTCACAAGTTCTTTGAATATATTTAAATTATCGCCCACTTTTTGTGTATTTCCACCTTCTTTAGCTTGTTTTGTTGCTGCATCTTGTTCCTCCCAACTTCTTCGTTTTCTTCATTTGTTCTTGCTCTATCTTCATTTACTGTCTTTTACCTTTATCTCTCTTCATTTTCCGTTATTGCTTTACTTACACAATTTTACTCTTTTCTTGAAATGGCAACCAAACCATCTTCATCTTCTTCTC